AATCGAACCTGACCTTTCAGTCCCCAGGCCGATGCTCTATCCACTGAGCCAAACCAGTTAGGGCAGGCCCCATTTTTTAAATAAAATATGATACAATAATATATAAAGTAAAGATAAACATACACATTCGAATGCTAATCTGGAATTGTGCCCTCTAGGGAGGAAAGAGCAGCTCTATCCATTTTCCCAGCCTACCTATATTCTCTTCTGTGGAAGAGTAAACGGATGCCCTGATTTATCAGTAGGTTCTGATCACATGCCTTAGCAAGTGCTCAGTAAATGGTGGCTGTTATAATTGATGTTATTACCATAATTCACACTTTAATAGAGTCTTTGCACTTTAATCTGTATTAGACTGGAATACCAAAATATCACAAGGTTTCCGAAATCAGACATTCGTTAGTCTAAGAATTTATGAATCAATAGGAGTTTGACTAGAAACCTGTATAACTGACGACAAAGCAAAGCAAAGTGCCAATAGCAAAGCTTCAGGGGATGCTTTCCTAGAGATCAGAGTGCAGAAGTGTCGTGTCAGGAGACCAGAAACGATTCCATGGGGGAGATAGCATTGCAACAGGGTCTTTGTCATTGCAGTTTATTTGATTTTATTAATTATTTTAATAAAATTATATCTGCACATCATTTAAGAACTAAATCGTTTGGCAAGGCTTATTATCTTTTGTTATTTATCTGTACACACTTAACAACAGGTCTATATTGCTCTATGCTGATTTTTTCAATCATAAGCATTATCTGTTAAGTTCCCACCTTGGAAGATGAAGTTTTGCTTCTCTTTCATATAAACCCCCGTTCTCATGAGACACAAACCTCATCTCCCATCCCTTTATCCTGGTAATACTTATGTAATTCAGAATGTTTACATTATTATGCTTAGCAAAATGCTATTAACAGCTGAAACCCATATATTGTGATTATCTTTCGTTTCCTGCACAAGGGTTTGTTTTTCTGGGAGCTGGGATTTTTCTCTTTCTCTCTCTCTTTTTTTTCCCCTCCCTTGGCTTAATTTTCCTAGACAAGCAGGATCCAGTAGAGCCTTTTACCTGATGGAAATGCTCTATATAAGCACCATGCAATGTGGTAGCCACTGGCCACATGCGGCTATTGAGCATTCAAAATGTGACTAGGGTGACCACAGGACTGAGGTTTTATATTTTTTGCTTAATCTAAACATAAATAGCCACATGTGGTTGGTGGCCATAGTGCTGAGCAGCACAATTCTAGACATTTATGACTAACTACCTCAAGCTTTCTGTCTGAATCTGCTCTGGGTATTTTCAAAGACATTAAGTAGCATCTATAGTTGTATCCATTTCATCTTAAATCTCTCAGGTGGCCTTTTGTTCCCTCTGGACTAGTTTCCTCTCGAGCTGGGGCTGGGCTCTCGATTCCCCTTCACTGTCATCCTGGGGGTTATGCAGATTTAACATGAAAGTCCCAATTCCTTTATTGAACTAATATTTGAGTAAGTATGACGTACCAGGCACCCTTCTAGCTGCTTCCTTCACAGCGCAGACACCGCCAGTCGTCTAAGTGATATGTATGCTCCACTTTTTGCTTATTAACAGAACCACAATTTAGTTTGGAACAGAAATATGCTCATTTAAAAAATGCACTCCTAAAAAAAAGAAACCCAATAAATGTTCTCTTAATAAATAAATAAGTAAAACAATATACCCCAATTCCCTAAGGGTGACACAGTTTGTCAATAAGATTTAAGTGTAACTCTAGGGAACAAGGCTTCTGGGGAAAGTATAGTATTACTGATGAGCAGGTCAGATTCACTGGCATGTACTGTTTTCCTCTTGCCATTCTTCCCTTCGCCATTGCTGGAACGCAGATGTGATGTCTGGGTCAGAGCAGTCATCTTGAGACGCTGAGGGTGTATGTCACACACTAAGAATGGTAAAGCTAGAAGAAGCCTTACCTGTAATGATTTCTTTAATTTTTATGTTTAGTGATTATTTCACCATCTACTAAGTTTAATATTTAATTGCAGAAATAATTATACTGGGATTATTTTCAATGTCCCTCATATTATACATTAATTTTTTCTATTTTGCACTTTACGAGTGACTAATAAAGTTGGTTATTTTTTTATATGTATCAACTATTTGCATCTTTTATTCTATGTGTTGACTTCCCATATTTCCTTCCTACATTGATTTTTAGGCATTCTTAATGTGTTATGGATATTAGCCATTTGTGTCTTGTATGTGTTGTGAATATTTTCTCCAAGTTGTTGTGGTGTCCGTGGCCATAGGAATGTTTTAATATTCATTTGCAGCCAAATCTGCAATCCCTTCCTTCCAGCTTCAGCACTATTTATTAAACAAACTGATTTTGAAATGTCACTTTTGGCATATATTGAATTAATATGCATGTCTGTCCCTCTGTTATCAATCTTATCCAGATGTGGGTGCGTTCTTTCTGGGCTTCCAATCCTATCCACCTGTTTGTCAATTTCTGCACCAGAATCACTGTTGGTGCTATAGTCATTCCTTATGATTTTTTGGTTTTCTTTATAATTCCTTATGATCTGCCTTGATGTCTGGAAGATCAAGTACTCCCACGGTATGCTTTAGGAGAATTCTGACTCTTCTTGTCTTAGATATTCTATATAAATTTTAGAAGCCGTTTACCAATTTCCCTAAGATATATAGTCTCTTTTGTTCAATTAATCTATTTGATGTTCTAGTCAGTATCACACTGTTTTAGTGACTGTAGATCTTGAGTGTATTTTTATATCTATAGAGCAAGCTAACCCCATTCTTCTAAACTTTAAAAGTCATTCAGCTATTCTTATACTTTTCTTCTTTTATTTTATTTATTTTTTAAATTTTTTTAATTCTTTGTTGTTTAAAGCATTACATAAGTCTCCTTTTTCACCCATTGACCTCTCCCCAGTCTTCTTTTAAAAGTACTGATAATAAGCTTATCAATTTCCATGAAAATTATTCTTGGATTTTTATAATTTATTTTAATTTATAAATTTATTTAGCCAGAATTGACACTTTTATAATATAAGCTTCCTATCTACATCCTTTTTTACATCCACCAGTAAAGTTTTGTTGTTTTCTTTACATAGATCTTGCACATTAAGTAGTATAAGTGTATTTCTGAGTATACTAAAGCATTTATTTTCCTTGTAGATAAGAATGTGTGGAGACTTTCTAATATACATTGTTTATCAATGTCTTTTTATTGCTACTATTGATTTCTCATTTACTTACAATTAACTTTTTCATAAAATTCATTAAGAGTTGGAGAAAGGTGACCATAAATGTGTGCTCAGTCAGTCATCTTGAATCCAAAGCATGGACATAGCATTTTGAGTGAATTTTGGGTAGGACTTTAAGAGCTGGAAATGACAGGAGGAAGACTATTCGAATTAGTAGATGGTATCAGCAATTCCTTAAAGATGGGAGAGTGTGTGGCATGTGTGGGGGATGAAGATTAATCTGGTTTAGATCAAGTTAGGACTATGGAGGGAAGTGATGGAAAACCAAAAGGTAGAAGCTATGCTATGAAGGATCCTGAGTGCCCAGCTAAGCAGTAGGAAATGGTAGGTTCTCGCATTGTCATATTGCTATTCTCTTTTACAGAATGTAGAGCTTTGAGTCAATCAGACA